GTTTGAGTTACCACTCCTACCCCTTCCCTGCTCCTGGGCATCTTTCCCATGGAAAGTGTGGCACTGCTAGAAGCCACCAAAATTGAAACACAATACCTGGCTCCATCTATTCAACAAATTTACTGAACACCTACCTTGTGCCAGGCACTGTTGTAGACACTAGACACATAGGAGTGAATAGAGTCTGTAGCCCCACAGGTTTACTTTCTATTAGCAGAGACATACAGTAGATTGCTAGTTTTATATAGTGTTTGGGGCTGGAATCTCTCCCATAAAGTGCCCTGCTCCATGGTTTATGGACTAGAGGTCCCTGTCAGGAAGCCCCGCCCACTTGGTGGATGACCAGGTTTCAGAGCAGTGCCTCTCCGACTCAGCCCCCAAATGCAGTCACCTCAAAAAATGAAGGCCAACCATTCAACTTACAAATTAATTTTGTACAAAATAATTCTTCAAGGGAGAAACTGGAAAAGCAAAATATATATACAGTAGAATTTTAAAAATTGATTGATTGATGTGTGTGTGTGTGTGTGTGTGTGTGTGTGTGTGTGTGTGTGTGAGTGTAAGAAAGTTTCCTTGTTTTGTTTGTGTGTGGACAGGGGGGCAGTGTGATTTTCAGGGGAGGATCTTTCATACAGCTGGCCCTGGTTTAGAAGCTTGTTTAATTCAATATCTTCATTATAGATGAAAAAACTGAGGCCCAGTAAAGGCCAGGGCTGCCTTCTTAACCACACAATCTAAAGGCTGCCTAGCAGGACTGTGGTTCAGTGCTGTTTCCACACGTCTGCTCTCAAATTAGAAGTGGGATTTTGAATTCTTTATTTTCAGATTCACTTCAAGAAAAGAATGAATTAGAAATCAGAATGCCAGTGCATTTTCCTTCCTCTAATTTAGGGATCTAAGAGGATCTCTGGAAAAAGTAAAGTATTAAATCTTCTTAGTTCTGATGGGGCAGCTATTTTATAGACTGTTTACAGCAGGGGTCCTCAAACTTTTTAAACAGGGGGCCAGTTCACTGTCCCTCAGACCGTTGGAGGGCCGGACTATAGTTTAAAAAAAAACTATGAACAAATTCCTATGCACACTGCACATATCTTATTTTGAAATAAAAAAACAAAACGGGAACAAATACAATATTTGTATTTGCATGTGGCCCGTGGGCTGTAGTTTGAGGACCCCTGGTTTACAGTCTCAAGCCAGCCCTCAACATAGGAGAGTTCAAAGACAATTACCTTTTGAGTCACTTGAAGAAATGGAGACTGCGCAAAGTCAGATTGCCACACTGTATATAGGCTCCGCAAAGCAGAGTGACATGTTGAATAAAGCCACATCCAAGCTCTCACAACTCAGCAAATACAAAGCCCTTATTGGCCATTTGAAGAAGTAAAGAGATGTCAAGCCTACTGAGTGTATCGCGCGCAGGCCTGGGATGCCTTAGCATTCTGTAGTGGGCAGAGACAGGATGATGACTAGAGAGAGGCCTCTGTAAAATGTTGCTTGCAAATAGCAACTTTAACTTGCAATAATTCAGCAAGCAGTTGTGCCTGGTAGCCATGCTCGAGACACTGCCCATCTGAGGGTCCAGAAAATGGCTCTGTCCTCTGTATTTTCAGATGTATTCTCTGAGTCTTTAACCCCCATAAGACATTTTTTCCTAAATGAGCATCTCCCTCTGGAGTTCGTGAAATGGAGACTGTGGCTCCCTTAGGGTCTAGAAATAGGCTTGGGCAAGTGGGTGGGGTGGAAGCTGCCTCCTTGTCACAACCTACAAGGCTCTGAGTGATCTGGCCGCTGCCCCTGAAGTCACCTCCTGTCACTCTCCCTCACTTGCTCTGTGCCTGCCATACCAGCTGCTCTCTGTCTTTTGAAAATACTGAGCTCGTTTCCACTTCAGACCTCTCAGTTTATCGCCTCGGATGCTTTCCCTCCAGTGAGTGGTGTTCAGGTCTCTGGCCAAGATGTCTCCACAACAGACCAGTTTACCAGACCACTTCCTGCACTCCTCCAACCAATCTCTCCATCATGGGACCGTGGCATGTGGCATGCCTTTTTTATTTACTTGGTGGTGTTTTGTCCCCCAAAGCTCTATGAGGTGGAGATCTTGTCTATCTTGCTCATCACTCTATAATTAGCACTCAAAAATACTTAGTACTCATAAATAGGTATTCATTGAATAAATGCATGAGTCCCCTGAAATAGTATGCTTAGGTATATACTTGCACATGTCCATTTTTTTTTTTCTGGTGGAAGTCCCTAGGTTTTATCATATTCAAAAAGAGGCTCATTCTTCCAAAATTAGTATTCACTGACTAAATTATTAGGGCAGAGACTCAGTGGTCTGGCCACCAAAGTATGGTCCTCAGACAAGCAACTTTGACATCACTTTATAGAAATAGTCTCTCTTACCTCATCCCAGACTTCGTAAATCTGAATCTACGTTGTGACAAGATATGCAAAGGGTTTATATGAACATTAAAGCTTGAGAAGAATTGCTAGAGGGCAAATCAAATAAAGCAAAATGTTTTAGCCAGAGCTCCAGATTCTTCATTAGGTCTTTGCTGGATACATTTTCCAAAGACAAAAGGCTTATTAAATACCCAAACAGAAAATACTTCAAGCCTTAAAGTTTCAAATGGAGATGTGAACCTTTCACAAGTTTTCACTTTTATACTCTCTTGTATTTATACTGCCTTTGAAAAACACAATTTGAGAGAATGATCTAATCATTATAACATACTTGTACGGTAGAAATCTACTTTGTTCTTTCTTAACCTTGACTCACATTGGAACCACCAAGGAGCTTAAAAATGATTGAATGGGTTTCACCCTGGATTTAACTGATATGGAGCGTGGATTAGAAAATGTTTGAAAATGCTTCCCAGATGATTCTAATATGCAGCCAAAGCCGAAAATCAAATTCAAAATTGAGAACCGCTATATTAGATGGGTAGCAACACTGTTCCCTCCAAATACTCCTAGACACTCCCACTCCCACAGATGGGTAAAGGTCAGAAAAGCCTAGTTTGAACATGTCTTCTTCAAAGAATAATTAGCTCCTTTTTTCCTTCACTTTCCTCCCTCATGAAGCCTTGCTTTCTAAAGTTTGATTACATACAGGGAGGTTTGAGCAAGTCAGTAAATGCATTGAGGTTAATGGGACTGGTGGAAAGTTACAAATAAGGGCGGGGGGGCTAGAATAAGTGTTCAGGTGTGTCTAGATCTTCTCTATAAAATTAAGATCATGAGGCTCTTGGGCTGGGTTGGAGGGGCTGGAGCTCTCAGGCCCCGCTTGGGCTCTCCCTCACCTGGCCCTGTCCAGATGTGGTGCTGCAGGGCCTGTGCCTGGCTCGAGGGGCAGGCACCATGGTTCTGGTGGGACATGGGCAAGAAGCACAGGCCTTACAAACACCTGCCTCTACTAGGAACATGTGAGAAGCCCTTGAAGCTGGTCCTACAAGTAGGAGGGAAAGATGTCAACAAGCTCACCACCTGCAGCTTGGGGCATGACTCAAGCCTCTTCGAGAGAAGGATCGTGACGAACACAAGGACAGAACTCAGAAAAAGAGAAAGACGAAAAGCAGCTTCAAGGGAGAAACACAGAAGCGTGTGAAGGAAGATAGAAAGAAGCCAGATCGGGATCATGTGGAGAATGAGGCAGAAAAAGACCTCCAGGGCTGGGCCCCTGCAGGATTAGACTTGCCTCCTGAGAAGCCTCCCAAGCTCCTTAGCCAAACAAGAAGTAGAACACACACCTCTTTGAATCAATTGATGAGACAGTTGCAAATAAAAGACCCAAGTGCTTTCTTTTCATTTCCTGTGACTGACTTTATTGCTCCCAGCTACTTCATGATCATTAACCACCCAATAGATTTTAGTACCATGAAAAAGACCGACTACCAGTCTACAGAACTGAAGGATAACTTCAAGCTTATGTGTACTGATGCTATGATTTACAACAAACCAGGGACCACTTATTATAAAGCTGCAACGAAGCTATTGCACTCAGGAGTGAACATTCTTAGCCAGGAGAGAATTCAGAGCCTGGCGCAGAGCAGACTTCACGGCAGACTTGAAGAAGAGTCGGAAGCAGAAAGACTGGACTGACACCCCACAGAGAGGGGAGGACGGCAGCTGCTGGCCACCGAAAGGGAGGACTCAGGCAAGATGGGAACACAAGCCTTTGAGTCCCAAAGAGGAAAACAAAGACAAAAATGTGCTTGAGGTAAAGTTAAGAGCAATAATTTAGAAAGAGAGCAGGAGGGAAGTTGACCTGGTGGCTTGTTAATAGTCAAGTATGAATTTGAAAGAAGAAAACCAATACAAATTCTAAGTGGTAAGAAGTTTTGTTCAAGGAAATATTAAAACAGGAATATGAAAAAATGATCAATAATATCACTTCAGCTCTGGCCAGGGTGGCTCAGTTGGTTGGAGAGTCAGTTCCCAGTCAGGGTGGGTTCAATCTCTGGTTGGGGTGTGTACAGGAGGTAACTGATCTATGTTTCTCTCTCATATAGATGTTTCTCTCTCTTTCCCCCTCTCCCCTCCTCCAGTGAGCATTAAAAATACATTTTTTTTTTTTAAAAAGTCACTTTAATATGAACTATCCATGAAAAAACCGCCCACTTCTTTAGATACCATGGTTTTACAAGCAGGGGCCTGAATCAATAGCCTTAGATATAAATCAAATCTAAAGAACATAAGCATTGAAAAGATTTGAGCATTGGTATTTGAGACTTACAAAAACAGCAAGATTAGTATTGGCAACCTTTAGTCAGTTTATTTTTCTCAAAAAAGATTGTAGACTGTAAAATCTTTACCTTGAGGTCTTTCAATAGAGCTTCAATATTAACCACACAGGTGTTCCTTAGAACAGTCCTGCCTCAAGAGGGTAAGAGCACAAGATGTGAAGTTTATAGACAGCATTTTTTTTGCTGTCTGTTTTCCCAGAAAACAGTAAGTACAGTTACTTCTAAATGGCCTTTATTCAACACTGAACAAAAAGATTTGTGAAATGCCTTTTACTAGCAAAATACTATGCTCATTTATTTGAACATGAAGATCAAATTTAGCTCCTGCCCAGTTCATATGCATACAAAATAACATTATAGAAAATCTAATCAAGAGCTTGATCTAATTCCCCTTTGCTTTTACTAAAATGGTTCACTGTTTCTCATTAGCTGCTCCAATACCAGAAAAACATCCTATTACAGTTTTATTTACCTTAACATGTGCTCTAGACTTAGCACAAGTATTTGACAATAGGACAGTGGGCCAATAAATGAAGTATTATATATAAAACTTTATTGTACAAAATTAAGGCCTTCACATTTCATAGTTCACTAGTAGGTGATTTTTAAAAATCTACACAAAAATTTTACTTGCATTTCTTCCAGCCCCAACTATTAAAATGGCCTGACCAATTGTTATGAAAACAAACACTATAAATAACTCCAAGTCCTTTAAAGACAACTCTCCCAAATGTTATTTCTTGGCATAGGTGATCTTCATGGCATGAGATGGTGTGATCTTAAATCCTTGTAAAGCATCCCTGGCAGCTCCAGCCTGTCCATCATTTTCAAATTCAACAAATGCAATGTCATGCCGCCCAGGTACCAAACGTACTTCCTTGAAACCAGGGAACCTATGAAGAAAAACAATTTATATCTATGTAAATTATTTATATATATGTAAATACATATGTTTATTCTGTGTTTAAACTTATTAAGCAACTTCCTGGGAAGTACTATTTCCTACCAAAAATCCTGAGTAGGGTAAAGATAATAATATAATTAAAATATAATTAACACTAGAAGAATTGCAGGAATAATATAAGCTAATTATATTCTTACCACTGTATCAAAGCTTTGTTTTCAGTTTTACTCATCAATTAGAATTCATAATTCAAACATCAGTGGTAATTCATGTCTTTATTTGCTAAATCTGAAGACTAACTTTAATTCATGGTTAATCCCAAACCAAATCAACGAGCTTGTAAGAAATTACTGCTGTATTGTACACAAATGGATTCAACTCATGAAAGTGCTATTTGTCCTATCAGGAGAATCTTGGAACACAGACTTTTTAATAATAAAACTTACTGATTAAACAGCATGGATAACATCATCTCATTAGTCTCTTCTGGTAAATTATTAAGGAATAAAATATAGTTTGGAGGGTAATCAGGGACCTATTAAAAAGAAAAAAGGCAAAGTTAGCTTGTAAGTATGAAAAATATTGTAAACCATTTGGCTCTTACATAAAATGTAAACTTGAGAGAGCTACATTGTATAGTTTATTAGAGATTATGAAAACTTATTGCATGCATCAAACACTATAGCTGAAAATCAAGACCAGAGGAATAAATATAAACCTAACAGTAACTAAGCAGACATTCAAATCACTTAACACAAATTTGGCAAACTATAAATCTTATCAGTATTAAGTATTTAAAAATATTTAAACCAATATTTAAATTTTGTCATAATTGGAGGATTCTGTCATCTGGGTTACATAATTGAAAGATCCTAACAAAACTAGAGAAGGCGGCAATATCACCCTCCTTTAGCTTGTTACCCAAGAACAGTGATATTCAATTCTCTGCATTACTGCTTACTACCTCCCAGCATTTAAGAAAATTGAGAACCACTATTTGGTGACTTCTAATGTTTTTTGCAAGTAAATGAGATATACATGAGTCTAGTTACCCACAAATAAGTAGAAACAAGCCCTGTTATTAGATATTAAAAACTGTTTGATTCCCCATCCTCAGGTAATAAGGATCTATAGGGAGATCATTCTGTTTATAAGAAAAAGCTTCCTTCTCTGGCTAATTTTATGGGGGGAAAAAGATAAAGTATAAAGAATAACTTAAGTGAACAACTTAAGGCTTAGAGAATTCAGTGCTGGCACTTGGAAACTAGACTATAATTGTTATAAGAGTTCAAAGAAGGAAAATAGGTAATAGAAGAAAATGCAAATAATTTAAAATCAGAGCAGCAAAACCTCAGTGATATAAGAAATTCTCTAAATTAAAGATACATGGTACAGACTGAGAGCTGTCAGAGGGGAGGTAGGTGGGGTGAATGGGATGAAAGAAGGTGAAGAGAATAGCCAAAGAACATATACACACAGCCCATGGACAAAGACAGCAATGTGGTGAGGGCCAAAGGGATGGGAGGGCGGGATCTGGGGACAGAGGGAATGAGGGTGGGAAATGGGGACATCTGTAATAATGTCAACAATAAAAACAAAATATAACTTTTTAAAAAAGAATGTTGTCAGACTCTAGCACCTAGGAGACAAGAAGGAAACCATGAGTACATAACTGAGGCTTCCTCTGAGGCCGTTAGCAAGGAGATCTGGAAGAGTTTGCAAGCTATCTATATAAGGAGACTTAAATGTATTTATGCCGAGGAAGAAAGAGCAAGGGTAAAAAGGAAACAACTCTGTGAAAACAACTTTGTGTAAGTCTGTTAGAAAAGCTGGTTTAGCGCTTCAGCCAACTGGAATAGAAACGAGCCATGTCTGTACAGCCCTTGGCTACGGAATGTTTGCTCCCTGCCCTCACACTTCAAAATCTGTCATTTTGATTCCCTCACGGATTCATTAGCCAAAGTGAGGAATAAAGTCATCTTGGTTTTCTCCCTCCTAAAGGAGATTAAAATATTCCGAGTGAGTTTCTACATTAAAGTGCTATATAACTTAATGTTATATCTTGCAGATGGAATTATTTTTAGTTTTTGGAGACATGCAAGTTGTTATATGTTGTTGCTATTGCTTTATATAAAGTTTTATTTTAAAGCACCACATGAAAAAAAATACTACCTGAGGATTTGGCGTTGCATTTCCTTGGGGATTAACTGAATTTGGTGCTCCCTAAACAAAAGAAAGAGAAACAGTTAAAAATTTCAATCCCTCTAAAAAAAGCAGCATGTGTTTATTTTTATAATCACTACATAAAAATAGCATCAATTTAAAGAGATTTCTTATTCCATTTAATTTTACTTTAAGAATTTACATCTTAGCTCTGACTCAAACATTCATGTATTTGGCTTGTCAAGTATTTTTGAAAGGTCTAATCCTAAATTTTAGATAGTATGTCATAAAGTTATGCCTTAAAGTTATGAAGAAATATACAAGAGAAAAAACAAGGGAACAATTTTTCTTAGCTTTTTTTAACAAGATAAAAGTCAAGCACTATACTTTGTGAAACTGACTTCTAATCACTTTTAATCTAAAAGTAATTACTTATGGATGATAATTTTACTTTATCTATTATTTTAAATTAAAAATTTGAATTCCTGAATTGTTCAAAGAAAGCAGGTTTGAGTGGAGTACTCATGATTAAAGATAATATCTATGGTTTATAGGCAGCGGAACTTGAGAAATAAGTCAATAGATATCAATACATTCTGTGAATGATGAACTGTCATACAAATTCAAATAAAACTGTCAAACATAAATCTGCACATGTAAAGGTTTATCTTTTAATTTATTTAAACATTAATATTGGAACTTTAGAACTCAACCAGTCCGGCTTCTTAAAAATCCACCTTTAACCCTTTGAGTGCCAACCAATATCCTAGGAACTATGCTAAAATTGCCAAGGCATTTTTGCTGATTTTACAGCAGTTTAGGAAAAAAATTATCAATCGCAAGTACATGAAGTTACATATTCAATATCTTCCACAAAATCATCATCTTCACAGCAAGAATTGATATATTTAGCAATATCATCATCACTAATAAAAGCAGACTTAGAACTGGACACTGCAGGAGGAGCGCGGTAGCGCTCCCGGCACTTTTGGCGAAAAGACAGGAGCGCGATCGTGCTCCCCGGCACTCTAGGGCAGGGGTGGGCAAACTTTTTGACTCGAGGGCCACAATGGGTTCTTAAACTGGACCGGAGGGCCGGAACAAAAGCATGGATGGAGTGTTTGTGTGAACTAATATAAATTCAAAGTAAACATCATTACATAAAAGGGTACGGCCTTTTTTTTTTTTTTTTTAGTTTTATTCATTTCAAACGGGCCGGATCCGGCCCGCGGGCCGTAGTTTGCCCACGGCTGCTCTAGGGGCTAAACACATTTACACACATGTGCATGCATGAACCTTAAAGACATCCCTATCAAAATTTAACACCAGAAAATAAATAACTTTTGTCCATCTTACCAGACCAGGCTTCTTATTAGCAGTCAGTGCTGTCTGTTCCACAGTTTTGGCTTTCTTCTTTTCTTTTTTCTTTTCTTTGTCGGCAAAGGTGCCACGCATTTTAGATATTATATCTGAATCTGTTTTTGCATACTGGATCCGCTGTTTTAATTATTTGAAAACAAGTTACTTTTCATTATGCTCAAGGTTGTTTACACTAGTCATTAACATTTCAAATTTCATTATCCAAATACACTACAAGATAATTTTAAACCCATCCCTAAGGAAATCTGTCAAATGTACTGAGTGCCAAATAAAAATAAGTTGTGGCCTATGATTCACAACTTATACAAAGTTAGATTCAACTGTGCTTTTAGAAAAACCATATATTTTCATATGAGAAAAACATGCCTGTGAAACAGCTGTACCACTGCCTCTCTCCATTTAATAAAAGAATAGAGAAAACTGCATTTGAATAGAGAAAGTTGCCTATCCCTTAGCAGGGACTCTCAGTAGAAGGGTCAACATGTGTCAGTTAGCTGTGAAACGTGTCCTTTGTAATTTTTTTACTTCCAAAGTTAAAGCACCAAAAATTGGGAATGACGTTCTTCTCAATCTGCTCTATTATTCTTAAATAAAATAACTAATAGTGGCATCAACTTGAACTTAAAATGCTTTGAAAGGAAACAAAAGGGTGGCAGCACAACTGGTGCAACCAGGCCACTGACTCATTCTTACTAGGCCACAGCCAGCAGGACCAGTATGCACAAGTAAGACAACAGGCCAGCGTTGAAAAACATCGGTCTAGGACAGCATTTCATAAACTAGAATGTGCATTCCAATTACCGGAAGAGTTTGTGAAAGTGCAGATTCCAATGCAGGAGGTATGGGTGATACTACTGGCATGGCTGCCACACTTTGACTAGTTTTTAGGCCCTGGCCTAAAGCATTATCACAGAGCTGAAGCCAATGCAATTAGCTATCCCGAAACATTTGCTATGAGTTAAACTGCTATCTACAGTGTACAAAACCGCAACCACCGCTTCAAGGAAACATTTCTTCCCTGGAGCCATAAGAGCCGAAACTCTGTCTCTGAGCATATCGAAGCACAACAATCAAAACACACAAGAGCCCTGGATGGGTGGCTCAGCTGGTTGGAGCATCCTCCTACACCAAAAGGTTGTGGTTTGATTCCAGGTGTGAGCACATACCTGGGTGTTGGGTTCGATCCCTGGTTAGGGTGCATAAGGGAGGCAACCAACTGATGTTTGTCTCTCTCCCTCTCCCTCTGTTTCTCTCTCTCTCTCTAAAATCAATAAAAATACATCCTCAGGTGAAGATTAAAAAAATTAAAACTAAAAAAACAAGCTATGCTACAAATTACTATTCAAAACTGTCTTATACAGCATGAATTCAATGTCAGTATGCAAGGAACAAGTGACATTTTAAAGAAGTGTGGGTTTGAAAACAACAAATCTGTCAAAACCAAGAGCAATTCTTTTTCTTTTTGTTCACTTCATCTAGAGATGAATGTACTGGGGAAACAGGAGGGGACCAGGCTACCACTAGGCATCCTCTGGTCTGGGCTGCTGTGCTAGAGTAGCTCTAAGTGTACTTATCCCTGCAAGCAACGCTGCTAGTCTCAGACATCATCATTTGACCAAAGGTAGGCTGAGAGCTTAGACTAACTCTGACAACTTAATTCCAAGGGTTCCCTCCCAATCCCCTTCCCTGGGTCTTCTATCTTCTCCCTGACCTGAGCAGATCTCTGGTGTCTGTCCTTTTGACAATCACCTGTGACAATCTCTGATCTCAGCCATCGCTTTTAGCTGGCTGTTCTAGAACGGTAGTTCTCAGCCAGAGGTGATTTTGCCCACCAGGAGATAGCTGGCAATGTTAACTGAAGACACTGCTGGTTGTCATGAAACTGGCATGTAGTGGGCTGAGGTCAGGGATGCTGTCAAACACTACAATGAACAAGACAGACCTCCACAACAACAACAAAATGATTCAGTTCAAAATGTCAACATGCCAGTGTTGAAAAACCCTGGTCGAAACTAAATATGGATAAAGGGTAAAAGCCCACCCGCAGCTTTGAGAAGAGGCAAGGTTTACATTTAAACCAAAGGTTTCGCCACAGAAGCCCTTTAGGGTGATTCTACTTTATTGAGGTATTTTTGGCATTAAATGATCAAATGTCCTTGAATCACAGAAAATAATTTTGCTCTGAGTTCTAAGTTATAGAAAATTTTGCTCACTTTCTGACTGGTATGTTGGAGTTAAAACAGAAGAGCAACTATAACCACCTCAATCAGTACAAACAAGATGGCTCAAAGAATGTTCTTCTCCCTCTCCCAGGATGCCGCAAATTCAGCAGGTATGTGCTACCTTCTTGAAGGCAGAGAATGGAAATCCTAAATACCTTTTATATAATATCAGTCTATGGACTTTTCCCATTGATTTTAAACTAATTAGTTGACAAGGTGAAGTAGTACCAAATACAGCAAATAATTTCCAACTTTCCCGGATCTGAGTAACAGGAACATGCAAACTTGTCATCTCAACTCAGCAAAGCAGCCCTAAAACCCCCTGAAGGAAAAACTGCCCCTTCATATCAATGTGACTTTAGATCTAAGCTAAAACCCAGTCTATGCTCCTGCCAACTGAGATCTCAATTATGCTACTCCTTCATGCTATCAGATAAGCTAGTTTCAGGAAGTGCCAATTTACTGAAAACTAGGATATATAGACACAATCCATATTCACAGATGGGCCTTTCCACACAAACTGTGCCCAACCAGGTGGGAAGTGATGGGAAAAGGGAAGTTGGATAGAGGATGAGAAGAAAATTTGCTCTAGTAACAGACAAAAGTCTCATTCTTCAATCAAACAGTGTGGTATAGATCAGTGGTTCTCAACCTTGGCTGCACATTAGAATCACCTGGGAATCTTTTTAAAATCGTGATTTCTGGGCCTCATCCTCCGGAAATTCTGTTTCTTTGTTACTAATGTTGTGGCCCCACCCCATAACAAAGAAACAGAATTTCCGGAGGATGAGGCCCAGAAATCACGATTTTAAGAAGATTCCCAGGTGATTCTAAGGTGCAGCCAAGGTTGAGAACCACTGGTATAGATCTACAAACTACTGAGCACAGCCAACACTGCCTGATTTTGTAAATTAGGTCTTCAGGGAACAAACTCACACCCATTCATTTGCATCCACCTAGGGCTACTTTTCCTGCTATAAAGATAGGTAAGTAGTTGCAACAGAGATCAGCTGGCTTATAAAGTCTAAAAAAGTATCTACTACCTGACCCTTTATTGCTAATATGCTGACTCCTAGTTCAGGAAAAGAACAATCCTAATACCGAGAGTCAGGAGACTAGCATTCAAGTCCTGATGCTGTCACAGGTTATATTAAGTATAACCTAGATAAGCAACTAACCTTTCTGTGCCAGATGGTAAAATAAAATAAAAGGGGTCAGTGGTCTGCACTACAGACTGCACGTCTACTCCAGCCCTTGGCCTGTTTTTGTATGGCCTATAAATAAAGGACTTTAAGACTTTTATTTTATTACAATTTAAAGAGTTGATACATCCCCCACCACCACCACCCACCCACACACAATATGCAACAGAAACCATATGTGGCCCACAAAGCCTAAAATATTTATTATCTGGTATTTATAGACTTTTGCTGAACTCTGAATTAAACCAACAAATATCCAAACTGCTTACATTTTACTGGTGGTGAAACTGAAAACAGGCACAAAACTAGTTAATGGCAGAACCAGAATGAGGACCTAGGTCCTTTAAATGCTGGACTTTCCCATCACAGTTCAGTTCCAGAAGAAAATCACTTTGGAATCCAGGTCCTGTGTACTCACTCACACAAGTAGAACCCCTTGCTTTACACTCTGTCTCCATCCTGATCTAATCCTCTATCATCTCGGACTTACACCAAGGGTCTCCTAATTGAGTTCACTACTTTCCTTCTGGCCTTCCCACAATCCAATCTTTATCCGGCAGCTAAATATAAACCTCATTATGTCACTGCTGAGCTCAAAATTTTCCATGCATAATTACTTGATTTTCATTTATTAATAAAACCTATTAATCTAAGTCTGAATTTTCCTTAGATTATTGCTTTATCTACACTGCATAGCTTTTGATATGTAGTATTTTACTATGGTGTTTTTGAAACTTTCTAAATCTAACAGATTAGATTTCCTCTTTGACCCATGGTTTTTGTAAGTTTATAAATGGAGGTTTCCTTTTAATCTTCTAATTTATTATTAATTTCTACTTATTTTCAAATAAGAATGTTGCCTATACTGCCATTATTTTAAAAAATATTCTGCATCTCAAGCTATTTTGTTTTTGTCCATATGAACTGTCATAAATTAAGAAGTAAATTATAAACTCTAACAGTTTCTATAATAAATAAAACAAACCCAAACTCCCTCTAACACAGTTAAAAGCAGAAAGCAATAGCTATAGTTTCAAGTGTATATTTACTTATCTACTATATACCATAAGTAGAAATTAAAGCCAAAATACTGAAATCAACTTACCATTGGTTTACCATAAAATGGAAATCCTTGTAACTGTCTCAAGGCATTTGTGGATGAGCCCAATTCTTTAAATATAACAAAGGCTTGCCCCCGCATTTTCATGGTCTTTAAAGCTACAATATCTACAACATGGCCAAACTGAGAAAACAGGGCATACAGGGATCTCTTCAATTCTGTATAAAATTAGAGGGAACAACTTATTTGTGAATGAAACAATGACAAAGTTCTTCATAAAACGACACTGAATTAAGTGCTTCCCTACCATTCATGTATTCATTTATACAGTTATACATTTTAATAACATCAGACTATTTAGCTCTCTGACTTAAAACGTTATTTGAAATCATTTTATCTATGAGTGAAAACAGATTCAACACATTTTTCAGCCCTTACCTATTTTTATTTTTAAGCCTTAAAATCCTTATCCAATAGGGATAAACCAAAATTTCGGGCACCGAGAAAGATAACTAAATGAGAAGTTTTGAAGCAGTACAATTTTTGGGGGGGAGGGGGGGGAAGCAAAGGTGGAGATTTATGAACAAGGACAGACTCCCACGTGGAGAGGGGGAAAGGTCCCATGAAGCAGTACAACTTTTAAGCCAGTAGTAATTAAGCACATTTTGGCTATGAACAAATCTTTTTAAAGCACACTCACCTTCTTTTTTAATTTTGTCATTCATATTGTTGATATAAATTGTATGGTTTGGTCTGATATCCATCTTTTGGATTAAGCTGCCCAAACAGCCTGAAGAGACAGTAAATATTCTGTTACAAACAGGGAAGACTTAACTCATACTCTTGGTGTGACATTAGGACACAACACAAGTGTTACTAACTTTTCAGTTCTCTTTCATTCCCTAATGCCAGAAAACATCAGTTTGGCAGTAGTCTTTAAAGCTCTCCAACTCTTGCTAGCTTTTTTTTTTTTTTTTAAACAAAAGGAGAATAATGCTTAGTGGAGCACTAGTACCTAGTAAGATTTTTAACATTACTTTATTCAATAAATTTTATACTTATCTTCCACTTATAACCAAGTGATAATGTTTTTCCATCTGCCTAATAAAACAACTTTTCTTTTTAAATTATTTAAAACCCGAGATTTGAAGAAAAATGAAAAAGAAACTAGCAAATGTACAGCCAGTAAAAATCATTTAGAACATTAATGAAGTTTGCCAAGAACTACTACTTCATGTGTACACTTACATAGCACTTTCATATCTGTTACTAATTTATACACATCACCACTTACTGCCCTCACTCCACAGTTATCTCGAGCCAATTAAAGGGATGAAGCCCTGGCCGGTTTGGCTCAGTGGATAGAGCGTCGGCCTGCTGACTGAAAGGTCCCAGGTTCCATTCCGGTCAAGGGCATGTGGATGCGGGCACATCCCCAGTAGCGGGTGTGCAGGAGGCAGCTGATCGGTTTCTAACTCTCTCTATCCCTCTCCCTTCCTCTCTGTAAAAATATCAATAAAATATATTTTTTTAAAATAAATAAAGGGATGGAGCTGTGAGAGAGCAGCACTGCACGATGGTTAAGAGCTCAGATTCTAGTATCAGCCAGATCGGAATTCAAACCCAGTCTGTGCTTCTGACTAGCTGCGTGACTGGGGTAAGTTCCCTAATCTCCCCGGTCCCCATCTGTAAAATGGGGATGGTGGTCAACAGCATTTAGAACTCAGGAGACTAAATGAGACAAAGTCCCAGCACAGCTCTTGCCTGGGCAGTAAGCGCCTAAAGCCGCTGTTATTAAAGGTTAATGAAGGGACTTGTCTAAGGTCACGCGGCTAATAAGCCGCAGGCCTGGAAATCCGCCCTTGCCTTCTGGTCTCCGCACTCCTCTTTCACACTCACCTCAATATTTCATTTTTCACATCGTTTTGAGTTGCAAATTCTGACCTTGCTTTATTCCCTAGGCCGTCCCACATATCCTTTAACTTCACAAATACCTAACTTCACCCACTGTATGTGAACAGCACAGGATGACTGGCAAGGAAAGGGCCCGCGGACAGGGGCTCCGCTGGTGCGGGCAATACGTTAAAAGGCAGGCTTCTCGGAGACCTGCGGGCTGCTCATCTGAAAACCGAGGTCGCCAATAGGAGGGAAATGATCAGGGGGGAGGCTCAGGGTAGGTACGCGGGGCCTCCCTCCTCTCCCGACACAAACACACTCGCCCAAGGCCCCGGACCGAAGCCCAAGGAAGTAGCCCCGTGGTCCCGGACTCTACACGTTTGACTCCAAACAACGCTCTTAAGATGGGAGGCCTCGCCGGAGCGGCGCTGCAGCCTCCATTCCTCCCCCGCCCGCTGGCCTAGCCTTCCGCGAACCCCAGGTCCGGTGCAGGCAGCCCTACCACGCCGCCCCTTCCCGCTCGAAGCTCCCACAAGGGAGCGCTGGGCCGAAGGCCAACCTGCGGCCTGGAAACCAAAACAGCGGGACAGAACTCATTCAAACTCACCTGAGGCCGGCCCACCGTCCCGTAACCACCGAAGGCCGGAAGCGGAGCCAGAAACCGGAAGTGACTGCACCAGGAGCCTCAATGGAGCGCAGATCGGTGGAGGAGCCGAGCACCGAGTCGATCGATGCCCCGCGGCTGCGCCTGGAATCTCTCTGCGCATGCGCGCCCTGGCGGGCGGGGAGAAAACGTGGGTAGGGGGAGTGGGGAAGGAAGGGGAGGGAGCCTGTGGGAAGCGTGTGGGTGAAACAAATCTTGGGGCCATAGAGTGAGAGGATAGGGGAGCGCAGTGATTCATTTCCCCCACCACGACTTTACGCGGCTTTAACCACGCAAAGGTAGCGTCCATCTTTCCAAATCCTATTCAGTTTTACAGGTGCCGCCCATGCCCACTGCCAGGGCAGGCGCCCTTCTCCGGGCTCTGGCTGGCCCCGGTTTAACCTCACATTCTGGGCAGCCAGCACCCCCACAGGTCTCCTCCGGTTCCTGGGCTCTGCAGGAACTCTCCAACACTGCTGATGGGCTTGAATCCCAGGGACACCTCCGCTTGAGGCCCCAAGTGGAGGGAGTTGGTGTCGCTGTCCAGCTCTCTCACTTTATGAGGCAACCACACTTGACTAATGACCAAACACCTGTAAGGTCATCAGCCTAAACGCACTCAAAACTCATTCATTTTCTATCATCCTTCCCACCTTCCCATCTCCCATAAAATGCCTGTATTGTTCTAGGTTAAGACAAGTTGTTGGTGTTTAGGCCAAACTGAACGGGAATTCCAAAAAGGGCACATACCCATTCATCCATTCGTCAAATATATGTAAAGCATCATCTGAAATGTTTGTTATGAGCCAAGGGGAATCTAATCTTGTTATTCCCTTGAACGCCTCAATTCCCTCATATGTAAATTAGGGATCATAATAGTAACTCCTAGAGTTATTGTGAGGATTAAATGCACTCAATATAAAGTGATTAGACACAAAAGAAATGGTTCATAAATGTTATTTGTAAATGCTGGACATATGCATGAAGGGACCAAATAGATTCGTCTTATAAGACAGGGATTTTTATTTTAAAAGGTCGCCTAAAGTTGCAACATTTTGAAATAATGTAAGTTTTTTGAAGGCGGGGATTTTTGTCTACTTTGTTCAGTCAGGTAGCTTTAATAACTAGATATGTGGCTGATAAATATGTATTGAATGAAGGGATGAATAAATGAAGCTTCATGGAAAAGTTAGACAACACTAAACAAATGTGGTTTTTTATGAAGATGCACAGAAGTGTAGGAAATAATGTTAAACAATTACAAAAAAGCATTATTTTATAATATGGATGTAAAATTGAGAAGAAATGTAAATAGTTCTGTCTCAGTTAAGGAATTATGAGAGAGTACCCTTACTACATTAAAAGAAATATAAACTAAATTTAAAAAAAAATTGAATAACAAAGGACAAGCTGCACTGCACATTAATATGGACATCTGACCAATTAATTATGTTTGATGATAATGACAATGGCTAACCTATTTTTCTGAAAATAAGCTGTAACCTGACTATATTATGCAAGTCATTCTGGCCAAGAGCACATCATAATTATTAAGAGAGGATAAGGTGGATATTAAACCCTTATCAGATATTTTCCCATACAGTAGATTCCCTTTTCACTTTGTTGATGGTTTCTTTTGCTGTGCAGAAGCTTTTTAGTTTGAAGTATACGTACCATTTGTTATTTTGTTTTTCTTCGTTTCCCTTGCTCTAGGTGATATATTGGTGAAAATACTGCTACATGAGATGCCTGAGATTTTACTGCCTATGTTTTCTTCTAGGACTTTTATGGTTTCACAATTTACATTGAAGTCTTTTATCCATTTTGAGATTATTCTTGTGTATGGTGTGAGTTGGTGGTCTAGTTTCATTTTTTTAAAGGTGGGACTTTGCAAAGACACTTTACCTGGAAAGAAAAAAAAACAGTACCTGTCCAATTTTCCCAACACCATTTATCGAACAGACTGTCTTTACTCCATTGTATGCTCTTACCTCCTTTGTCAAATATTAATTGGACATATTTGTGTGGGTTGATTTCTGGGGCCTCTCTTCTGTTCCATTGGTCTATATGCCTTTTCTTCTGCCAGTACCACTATCTTATTACAATGGCTTTGTAGTATAGTTTGATATCTGATATTGTGATACCTCTAACTCTGTTCTTTCTCAAGATACACCTCAACACCAGGAAGACAAGCAGTCCAGTTAAAAAATGGGCAAAGGACCCAAATAGACACTTCTCCAAAGAAGACATACAGATGGCCAACAGACACATGAAAAAATGCTCAAAGTCACTAATCATCAGAGATATGCAAATTAAAACTACAATGAGGTATTACCTCATACCTATCAGAATGGCTATCATCAATAAATCAACAAACAGCAAGTGCTGGCAAGCATGTGGAGGAAAGGAAACCCTAGTACACTGCTGGTAGGAATACACAATGGTACAGCCACTGTGGAAAACAGTATGGAGTTTCCTCAAAAAAATTAATGAAACTGCCAATTAATCCAGAAATCCCACTTCTGGGCATATATCCTAAGAATACTGAAACTAATCAGAAAACATATATGCACCCCTATGTTCATAGTAGGGTTATTTATAATAGCTAAGATCTGGAAGCAGCCGAAGTGCCTATTTTGTTTGGTAGATGAATGTATAAAAAAGCGGTGGGACATTTACACATGGAATACTATGCAGCCGTGAAAAAAGAGGGTCTCTTGCTCTTTGAGACAGCATGATGGCCCTGGAAAACTATTATGCTAAGCGAATAAGCCAGTTAGAGAAAGACAAATATCACATGATCTCACTTATAAGGGGACTCTAAAGAACAAAATGAACTGATGAACAAAACAGGTCCAGAGGTATAGATGCATGGAACAGAATAACAGACCTCGAGGGGAGGGGTTTTGAGGGAGGGAACAGAAAAAGATTAACCAAAGAACATATATGCATATATGCATAACCCCTGGATACAGACAATAGCATGGGAAAGGGGTGGGGGTTGGGTGGAGAAAATGGGAGACATCTGTAATACTGACAACAATAAAATAAAATTAATAAAAGCCAAAACCAAACAGAGGATAAGATGGAACTTTGCAAAGATACTCCACCTGGAAAGAAAAACAAACAAAGAAAACACACAGAGACTTAAAATCAGACGACACATTGGGGTCTATTAACCACTAAAAAATGGCTACTATTCATTACACTGTGAGAAGGAACTCATCTAATGGCCAACTCAGTGGCAATGATCTACATGCTATTCCCCAGGTTTTTCTAAACAGAACCAGTGCACCTTTCTGTCCTTGGGCAGTTGGTCTGGGCTTTCCAATGGCCTGTTAGTCCTCGGTGATTTCTTAAATGGTTTTGAGAAGCCAATAATTGAAAGCAGGACTGAGAAAGGAATGAAGGGGGGAGAGGAGCTCTTCTGCCCTTGTGAGATGCCTTGAATGCCCTGGTTATATAACTATATTAAGAGCATTATAACATCTAAACTTTGGTCAGATGAGCTGTAAAAGGACCACCATCCCTTTATAATTAAATTCACCTCTTGAGGGTCAGATCAGGAATCTGATATTTCCAAAACTCACCTGTTTTTAAACAGAAGAGAAAAACAAATGGATTTGCTTAGGAGTTCTGCTCAGTCCAGTCTCTCATATTTCAGTGAGGCAACCTGATTTACTTTCCTGTGAAACAGTTTTGTTTTTTATGGCACTAAACCCAGAAGCAGCACTACAACACTCTAGACAACTGTTACCTATCTATTGATGATGAAACTCGCCTATTTTAGAGGTAGCAGCAAAATTACTACCAACAGTTGGGAATAAAACTGTGTTAAGACATCTAAATTATCGTCTAAGCATGATAAACGAGGCAGCTCGTAGTGACTATGAATGCACATATATTTTCCTACCTTATCTGCACGTGTTTTATGTTTCTCATTAAATGTTTTCAGTATCTCGCTGCAGTATTTTTGAGATGCGGCCGGGTTTAAAGAAAGATGCATCATGAAACTGGTGGATAAATTTTGGCCCATTTATGTTAGCTAGAGTCACAGAATGTACAACAATTTGTTTCTATTTTCTCTCTCTCTCTCCAGGTGGTGATTTCATTAAGACATTTACGTAGAGTAAAATTATTTCACAACCATCACTAAACAAATCTAGGCATTATTGTTGAGCGCCATATCAGGTTTGCCTTTTCCTAGCTGGTTGGGATTATATTGACTGAAACTTCCTAAGAAGCACCCCAGCCCTGAAATTCAGGGAGGAAATAATTTTGTGCAATTATTTTCTGTCATTTTACTTCAGTCCTTATGTTTATCTTTTAAGAAATATTATTTTAGGAGAAAAAAACACCAAAAGCCATTATCACCTCTGATGCATACTATTGTGGTAATGTTAACAGTGGGGTACCTTTCCATACACAAAAACACCACCTTCTCCCCCCAAATGGGAGGAATCTGAGATAAGCTATGATAATGTATGCATCTCATAAAGTTTGGAAGCAGTAGTTTGCCTTCGAAGACTAGATAACTAAAGATGTGTGGGAGAAACCGGGACGTCTTACTGTTCAATATGATGATATGGGAAGTTGTGCTTTGCACGGTGTCCCTCTGACCTCCCCTGAAGTCCACTAATTATAACACATGACTGCCATTCTCTTCAAAACTGGAGTAATAAGATGCTAGTGGCATGAAGCCCACCTAACAAGCAGATTAAATTATTAAGTGCAGCAGATAAAACTATGCAGTTAAAATTCTTAATTACAAGAGTTTCGCCTCTATGATTCAACACTGTTAATTATTTTTAACACCCTTAATTATTTGGAGTTGTAAGCCCTGTGACAATTTGAAAATCCAAATTTAAAAAAGAGACCTTTTTTAAAATGTTGGCTCTCAATTATGTAATTTCCAGCATCATGCACCATTGATTTCACAGGCACATCCCAGGTGGCCTAATCCAGTGCTTCTCAAACTTTAATCACCTAGGGATTTTGTTAAATTCAAATTTTGAGTTGATAAAGCTTGGATGGGGGCCTGAGTATCTGCATTTATAA